CCGACTCTAAAGTGTTAACAAATGAATACATAATTAACTCGTTTGTCGATTGTCTGGAATCGGATTCTAAAGAACTTCGTTTGGAAGCATTGAATCTAATCGACACGTGTCTGGACTTCGTTCGCGTTAACTATTCCTATAATTTTGCCCATAAATTGCTGGGAATCGACAGAACCCGCGCTGTCCTCAAAGACGCGGGACAGTTGGGACAGTCGTTCACTTGCTTTCATTCAATTCTTTCGTTCTTCGACTCCAATGCCGATATCAAGGAGTTCTCAGAAGAGCGAAGACTTGGAATGAAAATTCTCTACAAATTATGTGTCTCTCACTATACTTATGAGACTGTATTGAGATTCTTGAGAACTAGTTATGACTTTATTGTCCAATATTTACATTCCTGGGAGAGAATGGCTTCCGATTCGGATTATAACGAAGAAATGCAAGAATTAATATTACAAGAGATGACTTATTTCTTACGAATCTTAACCATTGATATCAAGATAACATCGGAACAGAACCTCAAGTCTCACTGCGCTTCTTATGTGAACTTTTTGTTTACCGAAACCAAAAGAGGACGCATTCTTGACCTCTTGAGCCCCATATTGTTTAGTCATTCGCATCCAGTTTTGCCAAATCTAGAGTTCTTTGAACAGAAAGGTTTGTGGAAAGCAATCAACGAGTGCTCCACTGCTACCAAATCGGTTGATCTCAAAGCACTTCATCAGCGATTGTTGAATGAAATCCGATTAATTGGTCCACAACTGGGAGTCATTCAAACAAATCTCGTTAGAAATGAATTGAAGACTATTCTGTCATTTGGCGCCGCTTTGAATGAATCGCAACAAAAGCAAAACATCAAAACCAAATACTTTGACTCTTGGCGTCAATTACTAGAGATATTGATTATAACTCGAAGTCTGGAATCGTGTGATGAAGAGTCGAGGATTAGATATTTAATGGAAATAATCATAGAATTGATTAACAGGGCATCTGATTCGGCGACATCTGCCACACTATTGAGTCCCATCTCTTCATCTGTGCTAATGATTTCATCGACACTCTCTGTCAGCAAATCTCAGGCATTGACTTCAAATGTGTCCACTTGTTTGAAGTCGATTCTATCGATTCTGGACTCTTCTTCGCCGGTCGTATGGAGTGATCAGAAGATAACTCGAATCAATTTCTATGCATCGCTTCTCTATTTATTCCGTTCGCTTCCATTCAATCTGTTTAATGAATTCAAATACAATAACAGACTTTTAGAGCGTCTCTCCAAAGATATGCTTTCGGGACACGAAGTGGCGAAAGTGTTATCTATATCTCTGCTCAACAGAACTGATCTCTCCATTTGGTTGAACGAGATCTCATCGAATGGCACATTAAGACAGCTGTTAGAGACGTTATTGTCCGACGACCGCGAGATTCGGGCCAATAATTTTGAGTTTATAAAAACATTTTATGGCTTCGAAGCAAAAATGGTATGAAATTGTGTTGTCTATCAATTTTGATGTCAAATATTTTAATTAAAAATTGATTATTAGATGCTTTTGCTGCAAATCTATTCATCATCTAATGTCACGCATTCACCGATCAATACGTTAGATGTGATGTCAGCCCTCGAGTCGATCCAGAGTTTTGATATGTATCCGTATTTAGTCGGACAGAACTCTGTTTGCCATAAAGTTTTTATCGATATTCTTCGACTTATTCTAACGATGTCTAACACTCGTAACCAACAGATCATTAATGAGGTAAACCCTAAAAGGCTTAACAAATATTTTAAAATTGTTAAAACGATTATTATTTTATTAAACAGTTGTCTGAGTTTATCAACTGTCGGACCACTCTATCAGATATCCTCCGAATGGCCCCAAACTTGAAAAATACTGTCGAAGGAAAGGAAGTGTTAGTATTGATAACGAAAGTGATTTGTCGTCTCGTTTCCAATATCAACAAAACCACACAAATCAGTTTCATTGGTCTTCTCTCCCATTATTACAATGATTTGTCCACTTCTGATGACTTGGAGATTGTGTTTAATATCCTCTTTGGTTGCATTCAATTTAGTCGAACAAATGGTATATTAAAAGATAAATTAAATACTTGTTTGAATATACATTTTAATGATTGTTTAAAATATGTGCAGCACTTTTACCACTGTTCGAACCGAGTCTATCAAATCAGGACTCAAAACTCATATCACATCAACCGTTAGGTCTATTGGTTTCCATTATAAACAATTGTTGTGTCAAATCAAACGAGAGTCTAAATGTGTTGCCAATCGTGGAGTCGTCTCTTTACCTTCTGTGGCATCACTTGAATCTATTCTTCTCTGTACTCAATATCGCGGACGAAAGGCAACCAGAAGTGGAGACATTGAAGGCTGAATCCGAATATATATTGAGTGATGTCTTCTTCTCTAAAATACAAGTCATATCACAGAAGAATACATTTGTGGACGCATTGGTCCGTAGAATCAAACGGATAATACATCTAAAGAAAAATATTTCAATTTAAACAACAATTTATTAATAAAATTACATTTTGTAATCATTTTTAATGCAAATAATTATACCCATAGTTTTATCTGCAAAAAAGTTGTCTCGTATTAAATGATTTAATATTAAATAAAAACTTTAGAAAAATTCAAGAATTTTGTCTCCTTTTAAACTTGGAAAAACTTTTTTGTAAAAATTTTCAAACATTAGAGTTTTTACTCAAAAAAAAAGTTTCAATTCATACAAAAAAGTTAATTTCACTGAAATTCAATGGCAAGCAGTGAAATAATGGGAAAGTCAGTGGAAATGTATGGCAAACCTGTGCTGTGCTCTACAATGCGATGAACGCACAGTCGATGTGTGTGTTGTTGTGTAGAAAATCCCTGGGCTTGCGATGGAGAGCCCTGTTGTGTCACATCTGCCCCTATATTAAGCTCAGTTTGGGAATAATCTGAACGCCATTTCCATCACTATTTGGACGCTTTTAACCCAAATCTCAGGGCGTTTGGCGTTTTGACCGCAATTTTCACACAAACTTTTTTCTAAAAAGTTTTTAAAATTAGTTTTTTGTCGAAACAAATTTAGTTTTTGCGGTCAGTATTGAATGGATGAGACGGTGACCGCAGATACTGAGGACAACGAAATGGTTGCCATCAATGATGAGGCGGATGTGGATTCCGGTGACGACAAGGAAGAGGTGTCTAAATTAAAACTGAAGGGCTCTTACCGTCAGAAGTATAAGAGGGCCTGGGAGTTGGACAACGAGCTCAGGGGTAGGTCTCTGTCCAACCCTTACACGGGTTTGACATGCATTTCATTTTGTATTCAATGAATCAAAACTTGTTAAATACTAAACCATTGGTTTTTACTATTGGTTTTTTGTTAAGACTATGGTATCGGGATTTTTGTCCAAAAACGTGGGATTATCTCATATTTGTCACTAAAATCCATAACTTTTCAAATGGTTTTTAGTGTTAATTTCATTGAACTTTAGATTCAGATTCAATAAAAACTTTTATTTGATATTTATTTAGGAATTATTGTAATCCGTATTTAAAAAATATTTTATTTTTCTAACATTTCATGTAATTTATAGATGAGTTGAGAAACGATAACAAACAGTGAATGAAATAAAATGTTAAAATTCAACACTTTATGCAAAAGTTTAATTGCATTCACAAAACAGAGATTAACCGAAAATCGTATCAATAATTTGGACACAAAATATTTGTTAAAAGGTTAACACAATCTCGTATAACATTAGCACAAAAGTTAATTACAAATTATGTTAACATTCAATGTTAGCGTTTATAATGAATGAACAAAACTATTTATATCACGTTCAATAATAATGGCAAAACTCACTGCATTTGATTAATTAGATTGTAATTGAATTGATTGATAGACTGGTTGTCTCCGTTCACGGGTGACCCGTATTCAGCGTTTTGCAGGACCTGTCACTCCAAACTTCACGCCCACAAGAAGGGACTCTTAGCCCACGCGAAGTCATCCAAACATAAGAAACACTCATTGAATCCAGAGGTAAAGTGTGACCACAACTGGTCACCACTCGTATATCGCTATTTATCTTGTATTTCTCAAAACCATATTTTTTACTGCGAAATGAATTGTTTTCACAATTTGTGGTTTAATTTTAGGAACCATTGAATACAGAGACCGGAGAAGTAGTTTTGTTTAAGAAAATCAAGAAAACTTCTTGTATTTCTCAAAACCATATTTTTTACTGCGAAATGAATTGTTTTCACAATTTGTGGTTTAATTTTAGGAACCATTGAATACAGAGAGGCCTCTTCATCAAAACAAATTCTTTTAGTTCTTTTGCCATGCATAAAATTACGCTTTGTTAACACTGTATTGAAACTCTCCGTTACTATTGACAACACTAACGACAACACAAATCGTAAAATTGCTTCAATGGCTCGAAGACACGGTATTCTCTCAATGGCTGCGAAAGATACCGAATAACTCGACAAAAGCTCTTTGCGTGGCCTGTCGTTCGGTGATAACCGCCGGCCGAAGCGAACTCATTAAACACAGTCAGGCGGCCAAACATAAGAAGGCTATTTTGGACGGCATTCCCGAAGACGTACGCCATTTGTTCACTTATTTATATGATTAATGCCTACACTGTATGTCCCGTATGTATAGCTCGGAGAGTTTGACTTTGATTGGTTGGACCCGTCATACGTACCGCCGACCGGAACCACAACTAACGTAACGCTGACCACAACTCCCACTCTCGCCTTCAGCGCCAATATAACGACTCAACAAATGAATTCAAATAATCATTTGATGATTGGTTGGACCCGTCATACGTACCGCCGACCGGAACCACAACTAACGTAACGCTGACCACAACTCCCACTCTCGCCTTCAGCGCCAATATAACGACTCAACAAATGAATTCAAATAATCATTTGATCGAAACTCTGGGAATGAATTTGACTGATATTATACACCATTTACAAGAATCAGTTCCCATTCATTTGGCCGAAAAGTGGGATAACGTCGGACTTCTCACACAACCGACACAACCCCTCAAAGTCCATAACGTGCTGTTGACCATCGATTTGACCGAAAAGGTGGTCGAAGAGGCGCTGAAGAAGCGCGTGAATCTGATTATATCATATCATCCGCCGATTTTTAAGCCATTGAAGAGTTTGGTTCCCAACCATTGGAAGGAAAAGATTATATTGACGTGTATTGAGAATAAAATAGCCATATATTCGCCGCACACAGCGCTCGACGCCATCAAAGGCGGGATCAATGACTGGCTGTTGACCGCATTCGGCTCATCCCAGTCGTCGCCCATTCAACAGAGTTATTCAGATCAGGTCGGGAGCGGACACTTCTCCAACTGTTTGGATGTTCTCGTCTCCGAAGGCGAAGACGTCACACAAGCGTTGAGTGGTTTAGAAAATGTAATTTTGACGGTTAAGAGGTAATGATTATTAAGGTTAAGAGTATTGTCTGAATATTCATTGATTATTTGCCACCAAAAGCAACGAATACGGCGGATGTGATGTCAGGGTTTGTTGCGACGACAAGACACTGCCAAAAGTGGTGGACATTCTGTCGCAACATCCGGTCGCACAGCTCTGCAGCAGAATTACAAAACTTCAATCCGTAAGACATAACTGAACCGAAAAATACAAACAAAAACAAACTAAACATTAAATAACCTGTGGTTAGCCACCACTTCCCGGTCAAGGAATGGGTCGATTCGCACGACTCGATCAACCGCTTCCTCTCTACGAAATTGTTCACAGAATTAAACAACATTTGGATCAAACGCACGTCAGACTAGCCATGTCTCACAAACACACCAGAGGTTGGACTTACTATAGGTTACTCATATTGACTGTTAATTGTGACCGTTTTGATTGGTTAATGTAGACACCAAAGTGAGCACAATAGGCGTGTGCGCGGGTTCGGGCGGTAGTGTTCTCGCCAACTGTAAGGCCGACGTCTGGATAACGGGAGAGATGTCTCATCACGAAGTGTTGGACGCCATACACAACGGCTCTTCGGTCATACTCTGCGAACACACCAACACTGAGAGGGGTTTCCTCAAGCCGTGGTCGGAACAGCTCAAAGAAGTGTTGGGTCAGCACAACGTCAATATCATGCTCTCCGATGTGGACAAAGACCCGCTTAGAGTCGTCTAATTGGTTGAATTAATGACACTTTGATTTAAATCAAAATTCTTTAAGATATTTGACAAAAATATTGTTTTATAAAATGTTTATTTAAAAATTTGTTTTTTGAATATTAATTTTTAAATTATAATAAAATATTTGTTTGATTTATGACACTTTGATTTAAATCAAAATTCTTTAAGATATTTGACAAAAATATTGTTTTATAAAATGTTTATTTAAAAATTTGTTTTTTGAATATTAATTTTTAAATTATAATAAAATATTTGTTTGATTAAAACATTATTAATAATTATTTAGTTGAGGGTTGGCTGTGCTGTGCCAACAAGAATTAACATTAAAGTAAATTTATCGTAACATTTGTGATTTTATATCACTGATAATATCACTGATAATAATACACTAGCACTGCCCTAGATCGTGTTTAGATGCTAGTTTACTTTGTAAACTTGTATGAGTTGAGTCTTGAGGGCAGTTCTACAATTATTGTACAATTATAATATAGAATTTGTTACGAATTCAAAAACTTCCTACTTTTCGATTAATACTTATCTCTAATTTACAACAAAATTATATTTAAAAAAAGTAGGAATTGAATCAAAAATTCAAATAACCGAAACTTATTTCGTCTTAATATACTTTTTTGGACTCGAGTTCGTGTATTCGAGGCCTCTTTTGCCGCAAATTTTGGCACTTTTTGCGGTTTCCATAGTTTTGAACACTTCTGTCGGCAAATAGTTTTCCAGTTCTTTCCAATTCACGCGTTTTGTGTCACAAGTCATCTCTGGTTTGAAGAAGTTTCCCGATTTGCCCACATTTGTCACCAATTGAACAAAACTCTGGAAATCTCGCTTGAGATCGACGTTAATTCCTTGACCTTTATTGAACTCAATGCCAATGAACCACATTATGGTTTTGGTCTTCGCATTGTCTTTAGGCGCGCAAACAGTACGCGACCGGAGGACGAGTGAAGGATGAGTGCGACTACCAGTGAAACACTTGGGGTTCACGTGAACTAATCGTACACATGTGTGGCGTTCGAGCTTTTGGACGAGAATACGGATCTTAGACTCGACTAAACCCATCCATTGGGCGTCCGGTGAGACGAGAAGAACAATAAAATGTTCGTATTTTATGAAGAAATTGTCGTCCGATTCGAAGAGTGAATCCCACGGGACGTCACCTGAGATGAAGAGCAATAGAGTTAGTGATGCGAAGAAAGGATAAAAAAAGGAGAGAAAGAACCGCTAATAATGTTGTTAATGATTTGTGAGCCGCGAATCAATTCATTAATTATAATAGTTTTTGTCGATTTCGAGACATTATAAGTGGAGTTTCGTTGCGGATATGAAGG